CCTCGCTGACACCAAGAAGGTCCAACAAAGACCTCCTCCCTGCAGACTCTCCCCAAACCCCAGGCATGGGGTCTCCTGGGGAGAGGCCCTCTGGCAATATCCCAACCTGGGCACAGCAGGGTGAGGTGGCAGTACCAGCCAGAGCACCCGACAGTCTCCAGGCCCCCGTGAGCCTCGCTGCCCCTTGGCCTGCCTGCCGTGGTGGCATCCCTGCCGCTGCCGCTGCGTACCTGGGCTCAGGCACACGAGCAGAAGTTGGAAGGCTCCTCCTCGAATTCCCATGGCTCTAGGCTCCGTGTTTCCTCCGCCTGGGCTGGGTATCCCTGGGGCCGGCGGCTGGGGGGGCCGGTGGTGGTGGGGTATGGGGACTGTGGAGGGGGAGCTGAGGCCCAGACACTGCCCGGGGTGGCAGGAAGGTGCAATGAGCTCCGCTGGTGAGCAGCCGGAGTTATTTCTATGGGAGGGAGGGGGCCTGGTCCCCGCCTTGGGGAGGAGTCCCTGGAGCCCTAATTAGCGGGGTGACAGAGTGGCCTACCCAGGCATTACCCAGCCCGCACCCAAGCTCTTCCCTATCCCGAGAGTGGCACAGGGTGGCCAGCGGGACTAGTAATTAGGCACCTGTTAAACTTCTACTTCCTCCTGGCCCCATCCTCGGGGTGACAGCAGCTGCCCCATTTTACCGCGTCCACAGAGCTCCCGCACCACTCATTTGCTGCCTGCTCCCTGGGGGAAACGGGGAAGAGGAAGGAGAGACCAGGCTTGGGGAGGGGTGCCCAGGCCTTGCCAGATTATCACTGATGCCCTTCTCCCACACCAGTTCTTCCCCCTCCCCCCCATCAGTGCAGGCTCTAGCATCCCAAATCCCCACCCCCAAGTATCCTGAATCCTGAAGGGGGATCCCAGCAAGCACAGGCACCTCCTAGGATGAGGCCTGTGGAAAAGGGCCCAAAGATAGTGATCCTGAGGTGCGGAAAGACCCAAGCAGATGAAAGGCTCTAGGAATGCCCATGCCTTCCCCCTGAGCCTCCCCTTCAAAGGCAGCCAGGTCTCCTGAGATGGAGGGGAGGGGGGAGAGGTACACGTGGGAACAGGGTCTTCCCCTGTCTCACCCTCTAGAGTTGTGCCCCCCACTCTGCCTCCCTCTATACCAGATGCAAGGTCATCCCTGAGCACAAGATCCCTGGGAGCAGGGGTTCATGGGGCATCCCCTCACCTCCCACACAGAAGGAAAACCAGTTCTGAGGCCTGAACAAAAGGGGCCAGGTGTGTGGAGGGAGCCAGGTGAGCCATGAGAGGGGGGAGCAGGGGAGTGGAGGAGTGGTTGTAAGAGAACAGTGCAGGAGACCAGGAAGGAAGTGCCCACAGTTCTCTGGAGGGCAAGCCCCCCTGTGTGTCTTTCTTTAGAGATCACTAGGTGTCTTGCCTCTATGTCCAGGAGGTGAGAGCAAGGGCCATCATCACCCAGAATACCCCTGGGGTGACTCAGCCCCTGCAGCTCTGGGCAGGTTGCAGTCAGGCTAGAGAGGGTCTTGGAGAGCAGAAGGAGAAAGTGCCTTTGCTGGTTGGTCTGGGAAGGGTGGGGGTGAGGTCCTAAAACAGGCCTGTGCCTCCCCAGACTCCATGGCTGCTCCCACAAGTGGGGGGCAGGGAAGGTTTGGGTCATGAGTGCCCCTGTTCAGCAGCTCCAACCCCTCATAGGAACCAAGGCTCCTCCCCCTCCCTGACACAGGGCACAGGCAGGGCAGGTGGGGAAGAGGCTTGGGAAGACTAAGCAGGTTCGGGGATGCTGCCAGGGCCCACCCCTCTGGGAAAAATAAGAACAATAAGGAAGACAAGGAGTCCACGCATCTCTGCATTCCAGCCCCTCACTTGCATGTCCAGCAATAACAGGCGCCATGATGTACACAGGGAATATCCACATTTCCTTATTTATTTTGAGGTTTATGGCAAGACCCGCACACTCTGGACAGCAGGGATCATTATCTTCTCTTTACAGCTAAGGAAACAGAGGCCTGAAGAGGCATGAGAATCCAGCCAGGCGATGATGCTGGGGCCTGGCCAAGTGAGGGCACCCAGAATCCTGACTCAATCCAGGGTCTCCCAACAAGGGCCCATAAGCCCATAAGCTCACCACCCCTGAGGTATCATGAGGGTGGGGAGGGGGGGTGGTGAGTGACAGGTTGAGGGGAAAATAGGGGATCAGGAAGAGGGAGAAAGACAAGGGGTAAGGGATGAGGTTGTGGTTACATTAAACTGAGGTGTGGGGGTGGAGTTTAATTGGGTTCTGGATTTTAGCTAATAGTAGAGTCAGGGTGAAGCCCAGAGCTGGGATTACACTGGGGTTGGTTAGTTGGAACTATGACTGATGTTGAGGTGAGATTTGAGGTTGGGATTGGAGTGAAATTGAGATTAGGGTTAGAATAACAGCTACAACTTAGGTTAGGGTTTAGGCCTGGGCTTGGTTTGATGATAAGGAATAGGGTCTTCATGTCATTCAGAGCTAGGCTAGGGAATGCAGTTAGAGCAACATTACAGGCTGGATTGAGACTGGGTTAGGATTTGAGGTTATAGCTGGATTAGAATTGAGTCTGAGTTCGAGTTACTTAGGGTAGGAGCACAGGTTAAAGTTGTGTGACCAGGAGATTCATGGAGATCAAAATGAGGTTTGCTTTCTGCTATAGAAGACCTCAGCCTCCATCCACTAAATTCAAGTTTGGCTAGAATTTTCCCCCTTTGCTCTGGGAGAATACAGATAGCATGTGTTGACTGAAGTCCCAAGAGTCAAGAGAGAGTTTCAAATACGAATGTGCTCACCTAAGGGATCTGAAACAACTTTACCCATAAACAATGTAATCTCCAGAATCCTGCTCTACAGCATGAGCTCACCCCCCAGTCAAGGGCATTTGGGAAGGGGATGCTGAAGGTTGTTTGCAATGAGGAGCTCTGATGCCAATTAAACTAGGAAATGGAGTCCATCAGAGGAGTTTCTCCTGGGGGATGTCTTGGTTTTGGAGTCTAAGAAATGGGAGTTGGAAACACCCAGGGCATAGATGCTTCTAGAAGAGCCATTTTTAAGGGCTCCACCCTGGAGCCCCTCAAAGTCTCAAAAGCACCCTCACCACTCTCCTTTCACCCATTGAGGGCTAGTTGCCACATTCTTACAGTTTAGGGCCACAAAGGCAGCACCAGCCTTCTCGCCCTGTGCCCTGAGCCCTGGAAGGGGGCTTGGAAGGGGAGAGGGGGGAAGGGAGCTGTGAGAACAACCTTGTCTTCATAGCACAGGTCCAGCCTGCAGCTTCTTTCCTTTCTGGGCTTCATCCTCTGCGGAAGCAGAAGGCCCTCTCCTGGGGGCCTTCCCCCAACTCTTCCATCTCCTTTCTCCCCACCCAGTCTCCACCCCAAACATTTCCCCACCCACTTCCTTTTCAGGTCCCATAAAGGTTTGGATAAATCCTGAAGTCCATTGGGGTTCCCTCTGTGCCCCCAGGGAGAGAGAGATTGGGACAGTGATTAGTATAGAGACACAGGTGGCATACAAATGGCTCATCCCATAGCCAGAGAGAGAGGAGAGGGACCAGGCATGATCTGGGACCCAGCATGCAAACTCCCAAAGGGCTCTTGCTTTGCCCTGAGAAGTCCACACCTCCTTCAGGTGACTGACCCTGCTCTGTCACACCCCCAAGTGGGTTATATATTTGCATCTAGTCTGAAAAATCAAAGATAGAGGTTTAGAAAGTGAACAGAGACAGAGGAGGGGAGAGGCAGGACAAGGGCCCAGAGACTGTTTCTGAAATGGGGGTGCAGACCCACCTCCAAAGTGCCCTTCTAAGGGCCTCTGTGGTGGCACAAAGTGTTGAGCACAGCACTGTGAAGCTGTCCGTAGCCTCTGTAGCACAAGTTCAATCCCTGGCCAGCCACAGAGCTACCCACATGGCGTAGCAGACCTCTCCTGAATCGCCCGCTGCTCCTCTCAGTGTATTTCAGTAGATCTGCCTGTTCTGTTCCCCACTCTGTCTCTGGTGAATTCTCTTACCCCCTGCACATCTGGCCTGTACCCCAATTCTTGTATGCATAAATAATCTTTAAAAAAAAAAAGGGGGGCCCTTCCCAGCAGCTCTAACCACACTGTCCTGTAGGTCCTGCTTTCAACTGCTAAAACAACCCCAGCCTGACTCCTCAGGCCACCAGGAACACACTCAAGCTCCTATCTCCCCTCAGGGCTCACGAGTTTTCACACATGCATGCATGGTCAGCAGGCTGCTGAGCCCCCTCCTCCATCCCCATGTGCACCCAGGCTCACCCTGCAACCCCAGAGCCTGGGCAGTGGCTCATGGAAAGCCACAATGGGGCTGGGGGGACAAGGCCATACTCTCTGTCAGAGAAGACGAACAGGGCCCCCCACATACATGGTCACAGACAGGCCAGGGGCCTGCTGTAGCCCTGCTGTTCCGCCAGCTCTCGGCTCAGAGCCATGCTGGGTGAGGCCATGGGGGAGTGAGGAGAACGGGGGCTTTGTAGGGGTGTGATGGGAGAATGCTAGAGTCAATTGTAAAGAGAAGGATGAGACCCCTTGCTGAGGCAGATTCAAAGCTGGGTGGTGCTAGGAGCTGAAGCAGTGGACAGGGTCAGGGTCAGTGGGTAGGGACCTTAG